AAATACAGCTTGTGTAGAATACTGAAAAATTCTTAGTTCATATCCTGGGTCTATAAATTGGCAGGCTCACTGACTAAGCATAAAGAAATCTTTTTTTTTTCCTTGCCTTTCCTTCCATACTTCAAAAAAGAAAAGAAGAAATATTAGCTATTTTACACTAGTCTTCAATATGAGAGTAATTTTAAATGAGATTTTTTTCTCCCACTTCTCTCACCTATCCACCCTTTACTTTCTGATCTTTTTCTTTTGACTGAAATTAGTGTAAAAGTTGATTTGTTCTGAATTGCTTAGTATTTTTGCTGAGGAATAGTTACAGATTGATCCTAAACCTACTTCTTAAAGGTTATGTGCCCCCAAACAACTACTGTCATATTAAATAAAACTCTATACAATAATAGAGTTTCAAATGAAAATATGACACATTTTTCATAGCCTTTAATTTTGTTTGGTCAAGAAACATAGTAAAGCCAGGTGCAGTGGTGCATGCCTGTAATCCCAGAGACTCAGGAGGCTGAGATAGGAGGATTGTGTGTTCAAAGCCAGCCTCAGCAATGGTGACTCAGTGAGACCCTGTCTCTAAATAAAATACAAAAAAAAAAAATAGGGGTGAGGAATGTGGCTCAGTGGTTGAGTGCCCCTGAGTACCCAGTCACCAGCACCCACCCATCCCCTCCAAAATAAAAAGAATCATAGAAAGGGAGAGCAAACTCATGTAGCTCTATTGGTGGAAAACAGGCACTTATTTAAATAAACAGTTTATAGTGTGTTCTTTGCAATTTGATTTCCATACAGGTGAAAGGTTCTCAGTGAAAGTAAGCAATAAAATAATGCTTTTTAAATGCAAACATTGCTTATTTAGAAGTGTGATAAATTAAGCTCATTGTATGTCACTGTATTAACATGTTTATTCAAATATAAAGGAAAAAGCATTAAACTAAAAAACGCTTCTCATCAAAATTTAAAACATTTGTTTGCTTTTCTCCTAATTAAAAGCAATTGTTGTTTACTCATCTCACAAATTAGCACTTCATAATTAGATGTCATTTCAGAATAAAATCTTCACAACTTTCAGATTTTATTTATAACTTATTTAAAACACTTTTTTCAGCATAATTGCAAAATTCTTAAAACTGTTTAGGAAATGTAAATTAGGTATAATTGTACTAATGTTATATTAGCTTTGAAAAAAAAAAACAACAACAACGTGTTCTCCTTGTCCATAAACTAAAGGCCCTGTGACTTGATCTGTGCTGGACTACCATGCCAGCACATTCCCCCAATCCATTTTTATCTTTGTCATGTTAGTTGGATACTCCCAGGACTCTAGGACCACCTTTATTGTGACCTTCTGAGGTTTTGCCTGCCAACATGACTTCCTTTTTCTTTGGGTAGGTACCTATGTCCCCTTTAGGAAATAGTTCCCACTTTTAGTTCATATGGATTATGATGTCTTTGGGTTCCCCAGAAACTGGTTATATGTTACAGTCTTATTAGGAAGTCCAGTCGAAGGGAACAGGATTAAGGGACAAGAGGGCAGAAAGGAGAACCAGTGTGAGAATGTGCTATCAAGCTGTCATCCAAGAAGCCACTGAAAGATGTTCTTAGCAGATTTTCTCTTAGAGAATAAAAGGAAGAATTTATACTTCCGCTTCCATCTCTCTTTGGTTAAAGATTTTCTCAAGTTATGCAGAAAATGACAAGTCAAAGATTCAAATGCAGTCAGGCTTGCTCAAGAGCCCAAACCCTTAGCCATTCTATATTGCTCTTACAAATGTTAGTCAATAATGAGAGCTAAGAATAAACTAGAAGCAATGATACAGAGTAGTTAGTATTCTAGGGTTACAGGAGGAATGCTTCTTTGAGGCGATATTTGAGTAAAGACCCAAAGGGGAAGAATATTCCAGACAATGCAAAGAACCTGAGATAATGTTTGAGGAACTATGAGGCACAAAATTACAGATGCAATGTGAACTGTGGGGAGAACAACAGGAGGCAATATTGGAGAGAAAGAAGAGAACGAAGAGGTGTGGATCACACAAGGGCCTTGTAACCACTTACACATTTTTGTTTGTTTTTGAGACAGAGTCTCACCAAGTAGCTCAGGCTGGCCTCAAAACTGAGATCCTTCTGCCTTAGCCCCACGAATAGCTGGAATAACAGGCATGTGCCACCATATCTGGCTAACATGCTGGGCCTTGTAGGGCATTATAAAACTTTTGACTCTTAATCTGAGACGGGAAACCATTGGAGGCTTGGAGTCAGAGGAGGAATGTGTTCTGACTTCAGTCTTAATAGGATCTTGTGATAATAGAGGGAAAGAGACTGATGGAGGTAAGAATAAGTGAGTGGGAGCCTTTTGCAATCTCTGTTGGAGAGAAAATTGTGCCTTTGACAAGGGTGATAGAGTAGGGGTAGATGAAAAGGAATGGAACCAGGTTTTGCTAATGGATGAAATTAGAAATTAGTACAAAAAGTCCTATGTTGGGAAATTTAGAGACATTTTAACTTGTGAAACAAAAAATAAATCATAATGAAATTTTAAAAGACATATATTTAGAACCAAAGCAAAAAATGTGGGTTGACAAGTATTTTTGAAGCAAAGTTCTAATTCTAAATGTTTGTATTAAAAAAGAAGGTCTCTCTCTCTCTCTCTCTCTCTCTCTCTCTCTCTCTCTCTCTCTCTCTCTTTATAAAAAGGAGGGAAGATAAAAATTAATGAGATAAAAATTCAATTTAAGGAACTAGAAAAATAATAGTAAAATGAGCTGTAAGAATTGGAAGAAGAAAGAAAATTATAAGAGCAGAGACTGATATAACAGATACTATCTATATAATAGAATCATCAACACAAAAATTCAGTTATTTGAAAATATTAATAAAGTGAATTTATCCAGTAAAACTGATTAAAGAAAAAGAGTAAATAATATCAAAAATAAAAGAAAGATAAAAGTATGGATGCTGAGAGATTAAGAAGAGATTTATGATTATAAATAACTTTCTGCTAATAAACATAATAATGTAGATAAGTGAAATAATCAATTCTTGGGCAAAAGTAATGTATTAAAAAGGAGCCAAGAAGAGTCAGGGAGCCTAAATAGTCCAATAACCATAGAAAAAATAGAATCAGTAGTAGCTAAAATCTCCCAGAAAAGAACACTCTAACCTAACGATTTTATTGATCGATTCTACCAAACATGTTTTTAAAAATTCAGAATACAAAAAGAGAAGCAACATTGTCCTACTCATTCTGTAATGCTAGAATAACACTGATACCAAACCTTGATGAGGATAGAATAAAAACTACATGTTAACTTTATTTATGAATGTATAAATGAAAATCCTGAAAACAAATATTGCAAATTGAATTCTGCAATCTATAAAAATGATAATACATCATTTGGATTCATCCAGGAATGTACCATTAGTTTAAACTTTGAAAACCTAATTAATGTAATTAATACAAAGCTGATGAAAGTATAAGTAATCATATGAGCACAGTAAATTTAAGGAAAAAGAGCATTATATGATTCAATGCACAGTGTGGAAAAACCATTTTTGTAGTGCTGGGGGTCAAACCCAGGGCTTAATATGTGCTGGGCCAGCACTCTGCCACTGACTGAGACCTCTAGCCCTGAAAGAAAACCCTTAAAAATATGCAATTTTCTTAACCTAATATACAGAATACATATTCCAAACAGACTTTTTAAAAAACAAAAGAAGCTGATTCATAAATATATATAGGAAATAGCATGGGCTCCACAACAGCCAATATCCAAAGGAGAATAACAAGGTAGAAGTACTTGACCTCCTAGACATGAAAACTTACTAGATCTAAAACTGTTGTAATCAAGGCATTTGATACTGCATAGAGGTCGATAAATAGACATACTAGAGAGATTGGAACACAGAAACAGACTTACTCTTAAAGGAAGTTATGGTATTTCTCTACTACCAGTCCCCATATTGCATTAACAGGAGATGCTACAGATAATTTTCTATGCATGTGGAAGGAAGCTACGAATGAATTAACTTGGACTAGCCATGCCTAGCATCATCTCTGATCACTCTTTCCCTCATTTACTCCTCTTGTGGGAGTGTCTGTGAACAGCAATACTATCTACAGTTGCTTATTAAACTATGCTCTGGGAGCCATCTTTGCTTTCTTTTATTGCTCAAGCATCATGTTCTATTAATTTTAAATTTGATAGATACACTTTTTATCCCATCCTTTACTGAACTAGGCTTTAGGACTGTTCAAAGGCAATACTTAGTTAGGGTCTTATGTGGTTCTCAGCACAGAGTGTGGAACTCTGTCACTATTATACTTACACTATTATAATTGCCAGTTTATTTCCATGTAAGTTTCTATAATTCCCCAAAGTTCTGAAAGTATAACTTTAAGTAAATCCCTTAAGGAAGAGTATCCTACCTGGTTTGTAGTTTTATTGTCAGGGCCTAGTACTATCCCTGGAATATAGTTAATGATCAATAAACATTTGATAATATACTGATTCATAAATAAATGGATATATGGATGAAGAGATAGAAAGTAAGTGAATTCCAGAACAATTCATCTAAAATGTATTTAAGGTATTTCATCATATTATTCTGCTTTATAAAAAAATTCTTTCTTTATAATCTTTTTGCCAAATCTGGTTTAAGATGATATTATTCCAGGCTATCATAATACCACTTTTTGCACATTCTTCTTTTCTTTACATTGATTAAAGATACTTCATGACGAGGAAAAAAAACTCCAAGTTCTACTTTTCTAGAATGGTGTTTCTGTCAAATGGAATAAATCATTCACAAATCTTACATAAATTTTAAAAATCATTAATTTTCATCTTTATGAAAATAAAATGTTAATTAGAATTATCTGGAATAGCCAAGGGAAAGGGGCCCAATAAATATTTGCTGAATAAATGAAAGTTTAAATATATAATTCTAGAAGTGACTCTTTTTATTTATTACCACATTTTTATAATTTCTTTCTAAAGGACTTTGATTGGCCAATAGAAGGACTGCTTATTCCTAATAGCCCTCCCATGAAGAGACCCATCCAGAAGACACCAGAGCAGTATGTCCCTATGAGACTCAGAGTTTTGAGGAATGGAGATAAGAATAAAAGCAGATCCCTTGTTACAATTTGTCCAGACATCTCATCTAAAACACAGTAAGAATGACTTGCTCATCATTATCATTAATATACTTTCTAGTTTCTATAGATTTTTGTCTTCTTTATTATGAGTGTTTTCTAAATAAATTATGTATTTATTTAGAAAGAGTGCTCCTAGTTGATATTTAAAGGTGAAAACAGATACAAAAATTCATTTAGTTGCTATATCAGGAAATTAATTCGATCTCTGCTGATATAGGCTAGGCACAGGAGAAAATAATGAATTAGAAATGAGTATCTTTGATTTAAAAAAGGTTCTATGAGAAATGTCTGTTTGGAATTAGCACTTTTGCTTGAGTTTTATTAACATATGTTGATATAACTGAACTTACAAATTGCTTCTTAATTATAACTTTGTAATTCTTCATTTAAGTTACTATTATACACAATTATTCATATTTATACCTTTGAAATACATAATGAACAAATACAGTTCTCAAAAGTATAGCTTTATATAACATATTCTTTCCTCTGGATATTTTAAAAGTTTATCTTCCTAGAAAAGCATTGATTTTACCTTATGATTGAAATAAAAATCTTTCTAAACAGTCAGTGTTTTTCTAACATTGGTGAAAAATCACCTGTTATATTTTTATTACATTTTATGAAAAAGTAATCATAGGTCATTGAGAAGCTTTGATGTAAAGAATGAGTTAAACACATTGTTTCTCATATAATTACCAACAATATTATCTCTTGACCTTTCTTTTGAAACATTTAGGATATTTGAAACTGCCGATAATGGTTTAATATTACTTTCTTCACATTGATTAAATATACTTCATACATCGCTGAACAATGAGTAACATTCAGATTGGTTGTCCACTGAACTGCCTGTAAAGATGATAAAGTAAAAAATTAATCTTCAAAGTAAAGTCAAGCCTGAAATTGAAATCTTTGACGCATACATTTCATAATTAGCTCATTCTGCTACATGTAAAATGTGAGGTTAATGCCTTTAAAAAGGTGTCTGACCTTTTTCCTAAAAGCCCAAAGTTAATACATGATTTCTTATTTATTTATTTTTATTCTAATCTTTAATTGTGGCTCAAAATTATATACAGGTAAGATCACATTAATGTTTTAAAATGCAGGTTCAGTCAGGGAATCCAAACATTTTGAGAGACTGGCAAATTTGGGCAATTATTCTGGCAAAGAGTATATGAAACTGTCCATTGTCTGACATTTATTTTTATGGAATAGTGTGTCCTGGCTCATCAAGTATTCGGACATTATTTACTTTTTCATGAATTATATATTCCCAAGAAATTAAAATACATTGGCATGCACTTGACACTAAAATTGTACTAAATATTATGTAATCTTTCTCTGTTGGCTCAAAACTATTCTACAGGATCATCAATAGCATCCCTCCCCCCACCTCTGCTGTATGTAAACACTGGTTAACAAAAGGTTTACATGGAAAGAGTCTTGGCTAATACTGCAGAATGGCTATGTCCACCTGCTGAAGGGTCTGTTTACATTGTGTGAATCGCATCCCAGTGTCATCCAAGATAGAAACTCTGCAATGCTGCTTTTAACAAATATAAGCTACATATCTTGCAGAAGAAATAAATTCGTTGATATATATGGATACATTCCTTGAGTTAACCTGAAACTTAGTTATAAAAAGAAATAGGTTCCATTGGTTAGTGCCTTTACAAGTAAAATCATGAGAGAAAGATGAAATAGAAATCTAGTTTAATTAAACCCAGCTCTGGTTCTGCTATCCTTCAGTTATTTAATAACTCCCTGTAGACAGTTTTGAGGGTTTCTCTTTGTTATTGTTTCCTCCATCTGCAAAACCAAATGAAGATCAAATGGTATTATTTTTCACTTAATTGATATTATTCTTAGTGACACAATCTTCTCAATTAATCTTGTTAGTGGCTCTAAGAATATATAACTTAAAAACTGATAATTTTTTTTGTCAGAGGCAAATTTCATTTTTTAGAACTGTATTTTATGTAAAAGAAAATTTTATAAGTGATACTTTAAGGAATAATAAGAAGAGAGGCTCAATATAAAGCTCTATAGTAAACTTTATATTTCAAATCATTTCAATGTACACATAATAATTGTTAATAAATTGTGACCTCTGGACTTAACTCAGGCTCCTTACTATAGCTTTTAAGGCCTTTTATAAAAAATCCTTCTATATTTCTCTAGTTATAATTCTTACCAACACTTCCTCCAGTCCCACTTCAAAACCCCACACTGCCCAACACCTCCCATCTCCATAATAAGAAGCATATTCTGACGATAAGTTTGGACATTTCTAGATGTTAACCCTGAACTCCACATTGCATTGCTTCCCACTGAGATTTTTGTAGCTGCTGTACACTCTGTTGCATAACTACCATTCTGTTTCATACTTACCTGCAATGCCTCAATCTATGAGATGGAAATAGGAATGGTATGTTATTCATCGGTATATGTGCTGTCTGCTATGGAACAGTGTGTTCTAGCTAATCAAGGTATTACAGAGTTACTTTAATTGTATTATAAAAGACCTACAGTACAGACTCTGTCTCTAAATAAAATTAAAAAATAGGGCTAGGGATGTGTTCAGTAGTTGAGTGTCCCTGAGTTCAATCCCTAAACCCAAAAAAAAGGGGGGTGGGGGCTATAGTAAGCCCCAAGTCAGTGCTTATTGAATGAATGAATGAATCATTACATTTGATCACTATTATTTCATTTAATAAAGAGATTCTAAAAGTGCAAAGAATGTTTTTATAACTTGAAAATTGGAATAATACCACTTATGCATCTGTTTGTGATCATGATTATTTTTCTTTTAAAATAATGTTTCGGTTTGGGACTGGGGAACATAGCTCAAAGGTAGAGCACTTGTCTAGCATGTATAAGACTGAGTTCAATCCACAATAGTGCAAACAACACACAAAAGTTTGGGTTGGATTAATAATAGAACCATATGTGAATAAAACAGACAAAATTAATGTAATCTCTGCGTTTTTTTCAAAGGTGACAAATTTACATCTCACAGTGTTCAATTTTATTGGATTTTAAAATTTTTTTATTTGTTTTAAGTAGTTATATTTGACAGTAGAATGCATTTATGCACTTTGATATACCATACGTAGATAGGATATAATCTCTCATTTTTCTGAGTGTGCATGTTGCATAATCATATTGGTCATGCAGTCACATATATACATATAGTAATAATGTCTGTTTCATCCTACTATCTTTCCTATCCCCACATCCTCTCCTATCTCCTCCCATCACTTCCCTCTACCTAATCTAAGGTGACACTATTCTTCCAGAGTGCCTCCTGCCTTATTGTGAATTAGCATCTGCATATTAGAGAAAACATTTGGCCTTTGGTTTTGTGGGATTGGCTTATTTTGCTTAGCATGATATTCTCTAACTCCAAACATTTACTGGCAAATGCCATAATTTCACTCTTCTTTAAAGCTGAGTCATATTCCATTGAGTATATATACCACATTTTCTTTATCCATTCATCCATTGAGGGACACCTAGCTTGGTTCCATAGTCTAGCTATTGTGAATTGAGCTGCTATAAACATTGATGTGGCTGCGTCACTATAGTATGCTGATTTTAAGTCCTTTGGGTATAAACAAAGGAGTGGGATAGCTGGGTCAAATGGTGGAAGAGGACTACAATATTGCAAATTAATTTTCTTATGTATAATACTCATAGTATACTTGTCTATAAAACAACATGTTATTATTTAATATGTAGTATGAAGATTAGTATTTAATTGTATTAATGGAAATTCTTTGTTTGAAAGAAAGATAAGACTGTTTTGGGGTAAATCATGGTAAATTAAGACCTCCTAATTTTTCATATGAGAGATAATTAATAATTTAATGCTAATACAATCAAATCTTGAATAATTTGTTTCAGAAATGTTAATCCTGAAAGGAAAGAGAAAATCTGTGTTACTAAGAATTCTGTGACAGAAATAAAAAAGACTGAATTTCATCATCTTTTGGAGAGGTAAATACTTAATATGCTAAATGTAAAGGCGTTTTCCACTCAAATGCCTGAATTATTGAGTACAACATTAACACAAAGTACATTTGTATCTACATAAGAAACAAATTGTTGATTATAATGGTCTTGCTAAGCTGCCTGTACTGGTCTTGAACTTGGGATCCTCCCACCTCAGTCACCTGAGTGGCTGGGATTATGGGGTATGCCATCTTCCTCACTGCATTACTTTTCACATGCCAGGTGATTTATAGTGTTAGCATATTTATCTGTAAAACAGCCTCAGGAGATAGGTACTACAGTATCCATCTGTAGTGTAAAATGTCTCATATTAGAGTAACAGACGTAGAACTTTTTCTTGATGGCTTCTGCTTCTTGCAGGCAACCTGTAGTATTAGAAAACCCACTGGGTCAGAGGACAAGGGGTTTAATATTAAGCCCTACTTTGCTATTAACTAGCTGGAAGCCTTCAGCAAAGCCTTGCCCTTCATTTACTACAAATGAAGCAAATGAAGCTCTAAGAAGTTAAGTAATTTTTTCAAGGTTACCCAGCCAGAATGTGAGAGGGATAGAATTGGAGCGCAGACAATCTGATTTCAGAGCTCACATTCCTTTTCAGGAACTTAAAATCCAGTTATTTTCTTTTCCTTTTCCCACTCATATGGCTAGCATGTGAAGTAGACAGAAGAGTTAAATACAGTGTGAAACTCTTTGTCCCAATCCTCTTTAACCCACCCACATATGCCAAACTCAACATTAAAACTAGGGTTACACAACAGAGAGAAGGAAACATTCACTAACCACCCATTCCTTCTATTCTCTCAAACATTGTCCTAAAACAAGATATCTCAGACTCTAAACAGTTCCCCTAGGAAAATGTGAGTGGGAGCAGAAGTGATATTGGTAGCTCTTCTTAGATCATATTGTAACTGCTTGAACCTGCAAAGATGTGGATGTGGAGGAAGTTAGAAGCAATTGGGTTGAGTCTCTGGCTGTCATCCAAACAGAAGCATGGAGATTTGTGACCGTGACTTGATGCTCTTGTGGTCCCCTTCTGCTCCTTCTACCTCACCAACTCTTATGGATGAGGAACATGGCCCAGTCTCCACTGGTCTATCAGCTTTCAGAATTAGGGCACAGGACATAAAGACTTAATTCTCACTGGTTTATTTCCTTCTGAGGCAGTCTCAAAAAAATAGAGGGCCTAGAATGTTTTCTCTAATATGCGGATGCTATTCACAATAAGGCAGGGACACTAGGGAAGAATAGCATTACCTTAGATTAGGTAGAGGGAAGTGAAGAGAGGGGAGGGGAGGGGATATGGGGATAGGAAGAATAGCAGAATGAAACAGACAGTATTACTGTATGTATATATGTGACTGTGTGACCAATATGATTCTGCAACATGTACACTCAGAAAAATGAGAGATTATATCCTATCTATGTACGATATATCGAAGTACATAAATGCATTCTACTGTCATGTATAACTTATTAAAACAAATTTTTAAAAGGGGCCCAATTATGTACTTAATTGCTTCATCCCAATGAAGGTAATAAAATTTAAACATGTTCTTTATTCAGCTGAGTCTTACTGATGAGCATGAAGATACTGCTAACTCACTTGCTATAAACAGTACATTCTAACATCAAATATATTTAGCAAGAACCTTTCACTTCTCTCCTTCTAAAGATAGGGTCACCACGGGAATATCCTTAGGAAATGCAGAATCACTCTCCTTAACTCTACTCCTTCCCCATAATTCCTACCTCTTTATCCCTAATATAAACTGGCTACCTAGGGTCTAGCCTCTCCCACTACCAGTCCATTTTCTAACTTTTTGGCAGTTAACCTTCTAGAAGGCAAATCTGTAATACCATGCATTTTCTCTAATATCTCCAGTGGCCTCCTGTTTGAGATAGAAGCCAGATTCTATCAAGGATCCTGAGTGTTTTAAATTAATTCCTGTTTTCTTTTTCAGTTTCATCTGGCCCCTCCTCCAGTCCATACACTCAGCTGTAGCTTAGCCCCTTATGAACTCCTATTCACCCTTTGAAGTCCTATTCAAATGTCACTTCCATAGATTCATTGTTTTCCCTCTGTGTTCTTTCTGTGCACTGGCAGCTACAATGCCACACTATAAGTCTGTTGCTAACTAGGTAGGTAGCTCTTCAGGGAGCCCGGTGCCATTTATTTCAATACCCACAGGGCATACCCAGCTCTTGTTTGAGAGGGAAAGAAATCAATATTTAGTGTTTAGCCAAGTCAAAAATTTCTATTTCGAAGAGATCATTTCCAGTGAAGGAAGCTAAGGAACTGCTTGGTGACTGATGTGCCTTTTGCAATCTTGGAGAAAGATTAAAGTTTCAACAGTAAAAGCCAAGGAAGGTGTTTTAGAGAGAAGGAATAGCATGAACCTGAGGCGTGGATGGAAAGATGTAGGGCCCACTGAGGAATGAAGTCAGTAAGGATATGTGTACCTATTTGTTGGTCATGCCTGCCACTGTGCTGAGCACTTTTCAAATCATCTTTGAATCCTCACAACAATCCTGAAGATAAGAAATTTAGGCTGAGAAAGGTAAAGACTTTTCCCCAAGCATCACAACTTGGATAGGGGAAATGAAGACTCAAAAGGATATGAAAACTCTAGAACCTAGCTCTAAACTAGCTCAGCCCTGCAGTCAGAGTTGTCAACACAACCCAGACCTTGATTTCTTTTATTTTCTCTCTCTATTGCTGGAAGCATTCTGTGTTCGAGGTCAGTTTTTATATTTTTTATTACAGGTGCACTGAAATTTTAAAATTACCTTCTGCAGCTCGGAGATTATTCAATGAAAAGGGCATGGAAATCTTTTCCCTAAAGGACCTGCAAAGAGATGAACTGGTAAACAAGTGGATTTGAAACAAAGTGTTACTATATGAATGCCACCAAAGGAAAAGTATCCTTCATTGGAAGACTTCAGATGCTTAGCATTGTTATTTTCTCTCAGGATTATCCTAACTCAGCAACCATCATAAAGTTATACTAATAACTAGCATCTTTGAGAACTTCCTGTGTGTTCATTTAGTGTTCATTACTACCCTTTGAGAATGGAGGCTTCTGTTATCCCCACTAAAAACTGAAGAAACCAGAGAAGGCCATATTACCAACCACTTGTGATTTATCTCTCTGACTTTTAAGAAAATAGATCCTTTACTCTTTTTGAGGCATATGCAATATAGTTGTTTAATGATTTCTTAATAATAATGTCAGTTTTTCAGGAAAAATATTATATCAAGTTTTTCATATACTCTATTTGGAAAGTTAGAGAAAGTTGAGAAATGGAAGGATTTTAGCAGCCTAGTCTTTTCTCCCATTTTTGAATTCAAGGCATCAGCTCGGAATAAAACAAAAACAAAAATCTGCCCTAACTAATGCCTGAAATTCTTTACACTGAGAACAAAGATTACATAATATTGTCAGAACTTGCCTCAGACTCTGAAGATAAGCAACCTTGAGAGACTCTTAAACCCAGACACCAATGACCGATATCATAGGAAGCATATAGGGTGTTCTTGCAATTTAGTAGATCTTAATTTAAATGCTAATGCCACCACTTCAAAGAGTTTGTTTTTAATGTTTGTGTGTGTGTTCTGCCATGATTATTTACTGTGTTGTTGTTGTTTTTTTTTTTTTTTGAGACAGAATTTAGGCAACTTGTATTAAAACATACTGTAACAAAAGATAAATTTAGTCTAAAGCTAAGTGTAGATGAGGTTACAAGGGCAAAGCGTGTAAGGGTGTAAGGAGGATAAAATGGAGCCAGGATGATTGTATATTAACCTGCCACTCTCTGAGTAATCAACATAAAGATTGAAACATGAGTGGTTGTATGATTTAGTGCATTCAAAATATTATCAAGAAACGTGATGTTCAAGAAGAGGAATTTTTAAAGAAAGTTTCCTTAGGTCCTCACACAAAGAGTCTTTGTACTGATGAGTGTGTAATGATCAGAAAAGG